GCCACATATCAACAAGAATTGATTTAGATATATATATGGTAACTCATTATTGAATTTTTAGGACAAATAACACACTAAAAAGAGTTTCTAAACTCGGCGGTCTCATTAAAATATTTAGCACTCTTCACCAATTTTTCCTTAAAAAATTTCATGAAAAATTGTCTTCCTCATAGAAGACATGATCAGGACATTCTCAATGGCATAATAAACAAACATGAGGCTTCTCTAAAGTTTTCCATAAGAAAATAGATCTAGAGCCTCAAGTCTTCTATTTTTTAAGTTCTCCATGACAAAAGATAGGCAATAAATTATTTACCACGAAGTGTGTAGAAAGTTATCTCGAAACCCTACTTTCTTATGCATATTTTATGACATAGAACAACATATAATAAGTAGGATATTATGGTACAAAAGGTATTATATGCTATATTATTCTGTGTCATAAAAATAATTGAGGCATTTTACAGTAAACTTCGTATGGTATTCAGATACACTATATCATGTCCTTCAATAAATTTAAGCAATTCACTATTAAATTGACCAACCTGTTAATTCAAGCAAATCTGCTGAAGTATGCGACAGGCCTGAGAGCCCCACAGCATACACTTCTAGAGAATACACCTTACAAGGCTCCAAATCAACAAGAATCAGCCTGGATATGGATACGCTTCTATACACATAGTAACTTGTAGTCAACGCGTCGGCAGTCGTCTTGATCAGATAGCCAAAAACATCAACGTCTTTTTTGAACTCAACTGCCAATTCTTTTGAAGATATGAAAACCGTACGCAACTCCAGGGGTGTAGCTGGAAGAGGGCCTTTAGTGAAAGGTGGCAAAAACATAAGGGAAAACATTAAAACTATTAAATTTAACTTCATTGTCTATCATTAAAAAATAAACAGACTTAAATGTTCTAGTATACATTCGCTCTATTTTCATGACGATTCAATGGACTTCAATCTTTTACTTTACATCATATACAAGCATCACTATTTCTGTTTAATGGAGCATTTGAAGGAATTAGTGATAGAGCCTGGATACATATATTTTATCCCAAATTCTGACAACCTATGCCTACACAGTAGAACGAGATATTTACTTTTAATAACAAGTATCTTAATGGCACTAGTGCCCGAAAGATATTCACATACTTCCTCTAATGGACCGCTCATAACGAGTTGAGGAGAGCCCTTTGTTGCGAAGCCCTTTATTGTACCTAGAATCGAATACATCGATTTCCACTTCATTCTAAGTCTAGTAAGGATCATTTACTAAATCAGTAATCAAACATATAAATAGATTCTTGGATAACTTTTATATAATTACCGTAATTAAATATGCTAAACCTTTGCTCTAGCAATGAATCCACAAATTAGGAGCGGATTCATTCGTCAATAATGATCGTAGGAAACGTATCATTGATTCGTAGTTGTATAACACGGTTTTATCAGTGCAAGGTAGGTTGAGTGTAATAATAGAGAAATGGATAAGGTTATTCCCCCCTAAAAATATTGCGTTTTCAACATTATTCTTGTATTTCGTAGAGATGAGTCTCGTTATTCTTGCCCAACAAGGCCTAACAAGTTGGGTCATATAGTCGTTGAGCTATGTCCACTTTTTGCACTATCTTTTTAGCAAAGTTGGGCGTCCAGAGGGCGGCTAACAGTAATGA